GGGCTCCTACCAGAGCGTGGCTGTGGCCAGAGTGGCACTGCAGCCTCTCTGGAGAGCCGCAGGGCAGCAGGAAAATAGCCTGCAGGGTGTAATTAGCGGCACCGCAGGCTCGCCCGGGCAACGCGCGGTGCCTTGGAGAGCCCGGTGCGCCGGGCAGCAGGACCCGCACCCACCCCAGCAAACAGGAAATCTGCTTGTTTTGCTCCTTCGGAAAGTTTTGGACCCAAATGCGAAGGCCAGGGCCTGACTGTGGCAATGCAGGGCCCCTCCCGCTGCTTGTGCCGAGTTGCACTGGCCTTTGCACCCTTATCCCGGAGCCGCACCAAACTCAATTAATCTGCACGCTTGCTTTATTTGCGACCCCACGCAAAGCTGCGATAACGGCTCCGCTCCGCCACCTTCCCTCCCGCTCCACAGCCCGGAGCAGCAGGGCCGGGCTGGATGTGAAGGCTCCTGCTTGCTGCAGTGCTGGGAGCTCGTCAGGAGGGCACCCGGCACTGCAGCTGCCGCAGCCGCCCATGGGCACCTTGCAGGGGGACAGGTTTGCTCAATAAATAAATACAAACAGGCTGTGGCCTCACCAGCACCAAGCAGAGCAGTGCCGGTGCTGCCGGGTGGACAGCTTTCTGATGATTCTAGTTTAGCTTAGCTTGTTTTTAGCTAATTTAGCTACCTTTAGCTAGCTTAGCTCGTTTTTAGCTAATTTAGCTAGCTTTAGCTAGCTTAGCTAGTGTTTTGCTCATTTAGCTATTATTTTAGCTAATTATCTAGCTTTTAGCTAGCTTGGCTAGTTTTTAGCTAGCTGAGCTGGTGTTTTAGCTAGCTTAGCTGGTGTTTTAGCTAGTTTAGCTAGTGTTTTAGCTAACTTAGCTCATTTTTAGCTGTTTTCTGGCTATTTTTGAGCTGTGGAGGCTCGGGCTTAGGACGAGGCCATTAGGGCCGTGCCCGCAGCACACGTGGGCGCCTACTCGGTGGCGGGCAGTGGGAGGAAGAGGATGGCCTTCTGGCCGCCGTGCGTGCGCGGCCCCGCTTTGCTGCTGCCGTCCTTCTTGAGGCCCACGAACCAGCGCTGCTCGGCGTGCACCTTGGAGACGTACGTGTTGTAGTGGTTCTCCTCGAGGCGCTCCAGGAACAGGCACTCATCGCTGGGCAGCTGCTGCAGCGGAGCCGGGTCGGGCGGTGAGGGCAGCGTTTATGGGCAAACGGTGATATTTGGTTATTTCCCCCCGGCCCCGCGGTGCCCCGGTACTCACGGCTGCGTAGAGGCGCCCGCCGGGGTCCATGGCCAGGTAGAGGCCGGAGGCGGCGCCGCGGATGTAGACCTCGCCTGCGCTGCGCGCGCTCAGCTGCAGCCGCACTGCGGGGAGCAGCAGGGAACACGGGAATGAGCGGCCGGAGCGGCGAGCGCGGCGCTGCCAGGGCCGAGCGCGGGGAAGCGGCACGTGCATGCGTGGCATCTCCCTGCCTGGGCATCTTTAGGATCCCAAGACCATTTTTGTCCCTGTTTGAGCCCAGAGCAAGGGCTGTTTGCTGGTTTGGTCGCGGGAAGGCGATGTGGCACATCAGGGGCTTAGCCCCTGCTCCAGTGGACCCATTTTTCCTGGTTTGGATGCCCACTGAGGAGGTGCATGGGGAGCTGGCATCGGAAACCTGCCAGAGGGGCAAAAGCCGCAGGAGGCGGCGGATCCCCCTGGAGCCCTGGGGGCTTTAGGGGTCTATGGGGCTGTTCATTCTGTGTGTAATGGGCTGAAATGGGAGAAAATGTGGCGGGACGGAGGCATCTCCCTGCACACAGGACCTGGGCTGCACCCGCGGTACTTCCAGACTCCTGGCCTCCTGGTACCACCTCCTTCCGCGGTGGAGGCAGGAGAGGCCCAGGGTGCAGGGAAGCTGCTGCTGGAGGGTCAGTGGCAGTGAGTCGAGTTGTCGGTTCTCTGCTCCCCTGCCCAACCTCTGGCAGGACGGTTTGAGGGAAAAGCACAAATCCCGGGTGCTCCGGTGCAAGGCAAGTGCACGGCGCAGCCGGCTCTGGCTATTCCCGTCCGGCCGCCTCCTGCTCCCAGCTGTGTTTACCCAGCGCGAGCTCGTGCCCGCGGCGCGTGGGTGGCGCTGGACATCTGCTCTGCAGCAGCAGCACAGGGAAAGGTCACGTCTGCGGACAGAAACCGCACGGACGCTTGTGGGTCCTAGGGGAAAAGCACTTTTCTGGGAGGCTGCCCAGCACAGGTGGCTGCTCCCCAGCAGGGCCAGCCCGGCGGGAGCTGGTGCCGTTCCTGGCGCACGAGGGGGTTGGAAGGGCTCGCAATGAGGGAGCGGGGCAGCTCCTGGGATGTGGAGCGTCATCGGTGAGGGGTGGTTCTGCATTGGCTTTCAGGGCATGCGGTTTTTTGGGGCTTCTCCGGACACCACTGTGCTCCCATACTCGATCCCAAACCCTTCAGCCCAGCGGAAGCGGTGACAGTGCAGAGTGCAGCAGACCCTGCTCCAGCAGCGGTGGTGAAGTGGGGCTGGGCTGGGAGCCGCGATCACAGAGCGGCTCTGCTGGCTGCCGCCTGCGCTGCTGGACACCGTGTCCCACAGGAATCCATCTCCCCACTAAGGGGAGCGGGCATTTCCCGAGGAGCCGAGCACGCAGTGTGCAAAGCGCCCGGATAAAGCACGTTCTGCACACGCGGGAGCTGCGTACTCGTCCTGCGCCAGAGCCACCTTTCCGTGCAAAGGAGCCCGACTGCGGGTTATTTCTGCAGGGAAAGGTTATTTCTGCAGGGACAGGCTATTTCTGCAGCACAGGGCTATTTCTGCAGCGCAGGGTTATTTCTGCACAAGCCCAGCACTGTGCAAACCTTGGAGCAGGGAGCCAGCGCCAGGTCTCTGCACACACGGTGCATGGGACATGCAGCCCTGGCCGAGGTCTGAGCTGGCCACGCTGCAAATAGCCCCTGGCATGACCTGTGCAGCCGGGTGGCCTTGCTGCACATCAGTGTCCCCATGGAGGGACCCTAGCGCGTGCGCAGCCAGCGCGGGCAGGGGCAGAGCGTGTGCTTACCGTGCGGGTCGCTGCGGTCCCTGGTGCCGTCCACGCGCCCGTCGGGGCGGATGCGCAGGAAGTGGCCGCCGTTGCTGCAGTAGAGCAGCTTGGGCTTCTTGTAGCTGCCGGACGGCAGGTCGAACCTCTCGGTGAGGGCGGCGAAGGTGCTGATGTCCCCGTCTGCCATCGTGGCGGCCGTGGACGCGTCCGTGGGCTGTGGGAGAGGCAGCAGCTCCGGGTGGCTGCGCCGGGGGAGGCAGCGCGGCGCCCGCGCGCTCATTGGTTGCAGTCCGGCCGCCGAGGCTTTTAATTTTATCGCATTAAAGCCCTGTTTTCTTTCTGCTCGCTATTGACGCACGCACTAAAATTATATACTCAGGAAAAAAAAAAAAAGGGAAAAAAGAGGAAAAAAACAAAAGCCTGCGAGTCGCACGGCGCCCGCGGGAGCCCACGCAAGGAAGGAAGCCTCGGGCAGCTGGCGCTGCGGCGGG